TTTCTGTAGTTTCCCAGCATGAAGAAAACCCTCGAGTTCCAGGCCCACAATGGGGAGATTGAGGACATAACGCTGAGTCCAGATAATAAGGTGAGGGAGTAGTCTTGGTCAAGACCAGATTGGTCTGTAGTGTTCCTGCTATGAAAGGCTGTATTTATTGGAGAAGAGAGGTTAGTTGCTAGGCTTCCCACTGCCTTACCCAACAAGAACACCTTTATTCCCTCTTCGCGCCCTGGACAGTGGGGAATAGTGTGAACTGTGTGTTATTGTCATGAGCAACACAAAATAATTTCTGCTGGAGATTCTCCAGTCCAGGGTTCCCCAACATGGTGCCCGTGGGCACTATGGCACCTGCCGACACCTTTCCTTGCACCCACCAAGTGTTTTTAGAAAGTGAGTGGGGCTTTTGCCCAGCAGGGCTTCTGATTGGCCATTGGAGATTGGATTGGCTGTGCAGATTTTTAAAAACATTGCCTTGGCAGCCACTGTCTCCACAGCAAACAGATCTTCACCATGTCCTGAGGGTAAGCTGTAGCAGCCATTTTGTGGCTGGCTTCACCTCCACTTTGTAGCAGCCATTTTCCAGTTGTGCCCACCACCCTGTCTCAGAACCCCAAAGGTGGCCATGGCCTGAAAAAACTTGGGGTTTCCTGCTCCTGTTAGTACAAGTATGTGCAGTCAGCAAAATGAAAATTCTTCATCATCTGTCTACTCTGTAAAGATTGGCCGGTATGTTTCTATCGTATACAGTGAGTCATTTGCAGAAATTAGCACTTTCTTTCTTACGTCTGCATGCAATTTGCTACAGAACCTTGACACTACTAAAAAAATAATGGTGGGAGCAATCCTAAAAAGGTCTACTCCGAAGTTGTCCCATCTTAGTCAATGGGGCTTTCTCCCAGGAAAGTGTAGGACTGCAACCTGTGTTGTGCAGGGAATTTGATTAGCATCCATAATCATAAATGGCTACACTGAGAAATGGGGTTGGCCCTTCAGGTCAGCAGAGATACCTGTGAAGAGAGCTTGTGGAATGGGCTTGGCTGTTGCATTGAGCCCTCTGAAAAGCCAGACTCTGTGCCCTGAAGCCAAATCCTGCAGATGTTGGCATCACTCTAGTGGCATTTTTGGGAGGGACTGGGGACTCTGTGTCATGAAATGGAAGAGTGAAGGAGGAGGCAAAAGCTGGGTTTTATGAAATGTTGCAGGACAGGACACTTGAGTGGGTGGAGTGGGATTTGGAAGCTGCATGGAGAGCTGTTGTCCCTCATCCCCTCACTGTCTGGAACACCACCCCTACCCTTTCCTGTTCCCGAGTGCCCATAGGTTATTCCCAAGGGCTCTAAGCCTGCGCTTAAGATTTATATGGAGTTGTGTGATTCAAGCTGCCTTTCCTGCTGTATGAACCTTTCTCCTTAAGCAACCTAGAGGCCCATTAGGGTTGGTGATCGGAGCTGCTAGTGTGCCAGCTCAGAATTAACATAAGAACATAAGAGACGCCAATGTTGGGCCAGGCCAAAGGCCCATCCAGTCCAACACTCTGTGTCACACAGTGGCCAGAAATACCAGGTGCCATCAGGAGGTCCACCAGTGGGGCCAGGACATTAGAAGCCTTCCCACTGTTGACCCCCCCCCCCCAAGCACCAAGAAGACAGAGCATCACTTGCCCCAGAGCCCCTATCTATACCTTGTGGCTAATAGCCACTGATGGACCTCTGCTCCATATGCTTATCTAATTCCCTTTTGAAGCCGTCCATGCTTGTAGCCGCCACCACTTCCTGTGGCAGTGAATTCCAAGTGTTAATCACTCTTTGGGTGAAGAAGTACTTCCTTTTATCCATTCTAACCCGACCGCTCTGCAGTTTCATGGAGTGCCCATGAGTTCTTGTATTGTGAGAAAGGGAGAAAAGTACCGCTTTCTCTACCTGCTCTTTCCCATGCATAATCTTATAATTTCAAGAGAGTTGCCTGTTTCTAACCAGGAGCAGTTTTCATGGGCAAAAGGGGCCCGGGAGAATATGTGGGAACTATGTGCCTTTCTGCCCCCAGCCAAGGCAGATGCCCTCACTGGGTTAAGGAGTCTGCCTCTATTTGGATAGTGTGGAGCAACTTGACTTTCTGGAGCAAGGGAGCAGCACCCCAGCATTTGGGGGGGAAAGAGGGCAAAGGGTGTTTTTTTACTGTCTTTAGGCCAAGGTGGTTTAAATATACATGAAGGTTTAGAGTTGCACCTAGCTCTTTCTCAGGCCTAGCTCTTTCTCAGGCCAGGTGTTCAGAGGAGAAATCTTAAAAAAAAAAAAAAAAGGATCAAAGAATCCACTTTGCCCTGCCTGGCATTAACAGTCTCCATCTGTATCTGTGTGCATACACCATTCAGGACTGGAACAGTATTCCAAATCTCCTTGCCCCAGAGTCTGATAACTAGGAATTTCCTAGCCGTTGTTTAGTTCCAGTATAAGAAGACATGTGTGCGCGTGTGTCAGGATTCCTATGGTGGAATGTTCTCTCAGAGATAATTTAGTGGATAGGAAAATATCCATAGATCCTTTATAGCCCTGACAGGCTGGATCTCATCAGAGCTTAGAAGCTAAGCAGGGCCAGCACTTGGGTGGGAGAGGGAGCACAAGGAAGACGGGGGCCGCTGAGCAGAGGAAGGCAACGGCAAAAGCCCCCTCTGCTCATCTCTCGCCTTGGAACCCAGGATGTGTAACTTCACGGGGTCACCATGAGTTGGCTGTGACTTGATGGCACACTTTACTTACTTAGAAAAATCTCCATTTCCTGTGGCGGTACAGCAATCTGGGACAGTCTGTAACTCTAGCACTACCATCTCATTCGTGTCTTGCAGAAATTTTGAGGAAGCAGAAAACAGAAAAGGCAAGGCTAGAGGCAGAAAGGGGCTGAGCACTACTTCAGACCTCTGCATGCCCCGGGTGGGATTGTGTAGGCAGATGTCGAGTGTCCTTACAGTGTATTTAGCACTGTCCACTTGTGGCGCCGCAGGTCGTGACGGTGGGCCGGGACTTCCAATGCTGCGTGTGGCAGAGGGATCAGTTGGTGACTGGGCTGCACTGGAACGAGAACCTTCCAGGCATCCCGGATAAGGCCTACCGCTACCAGGCTTGCAGGTAATAAGCTGGGTTGGGTTGGTGACTTGGGCCTTGCGTGAGCTCCGTTATGCTTGCTGTGATGCTTTCTCCTTTTTGCGCAGGTTTGGGACAGTGGAAGACCAAGCCAAGGCTCTGCGGCTGTACACGGTGCAGATCCCTTACAAGCGGGAGCGACGACCACCCCCTTGCTACATTACCAAGTGGGATGGGCACAGCTTCCTGCCCTTGCTCACCCGGCCTTGCGGCAACGAGGTCATCTCCTGCCTCTCCATCAGGTAAGCCTACCTGTTCTTCCACTTCTTTTCTGTGCCCCCCTCCTCCTGAAAGGTTGGAGGAGGACAGAAAACAAACTGTGCCGCTGGTAAGTGGCAGTAGGTTATTTCTG